CGCACGCCCGAGAGAATATGCCGGGCGCGCCTTCGCGAGCACTGCCGCTTCTGCTACCGCCACCGCCGCCGTTGACTCTTAACCTCTCGTCCCCACAATCGGCCGGGACCGGGCGCCCCTGGGGGCTTTGAGCCACAGGATTGCCTTCTCGCGTTCCTCTTCCCCTCCGTCTTGACAGCCCCGCAGCCTCCGACGCCTCTCCAGCAAGACTTACCCATGGCTTGACTCAGGACGCCGAGCGGGGTGCTTGAAGATCCCCGGAGGAAACTCGGCGAGGGATCGGTCTTGCCCGGCTCCCCGGGATCGGCTCCGGAGAAGGCCCTGGCTCCCTTGGATTCTTACTGCGGGAAAAGGCGAGAGTGTCAAGAAAAAGGACCCCAAGGAAGTCACTTTTCCGAGGCAGGAGACTTAAGTCCCGCATTTCAATCTCGCAGCAACGTGGGCTGGGCTGGGTCGGTTGGGACGGCTCAGGCTATCACTCACCAAAGACACGCCCCTTAGAAGGCGGACCTAAAGGGAAATGCAGCCCTGGATTGGTAGGGAAGAATGACAGACAGTCTCACCCGGGAAGGGGCTTCCGTTCGCTTTTGCAGACAAGTTGGATCAGCACCTGGGTTCCATATGCAACTGCAACGCACAGAGATGGGAAAGTTGAATTGCGGGAGGCCATAAGTTAAAGGAAATCTAATAGCAGAATGTGGAAAATGCATTAACAGGATGAATAGCTGCTCAAGGCGGCTTTATTCTCATAAATGGGACTTACCTTAGTTCTGCTTCCAGTGCCAGTAGTTAGAGAGCTAAACTTTCAGGAGGACTCTGACCCCGCTTTTTTCGTTCCTCATCTTTAGAAAACCGAGTGGTAATATTTGCTTGGAAATAATATGTTCCCGTTTTAGAAAAGCTTCTTTCTTCTTTCCTCAAGAAAACACTGATCTATTTCCCCCGGCATCATTTATCCTTAGTAGCAGCAGCTGTAAAAAGAATGAAAGAGATCTAGACTAAAAGAATGCTAGCAAAGGCGCGGGTGTTGGTGGAATTCTGTCGAGTTCAGCTGCCAGTAATTGAATACATCGATTGTTCATCCATAAACAAGATGATCACACAAATATGTGTCAACCTTTGAAATATAAGCAGGGCCATCTTTCTGCATTTGAAACCCACAAACACGCACCTTTCCTGCACCATGGAATACGGAACAATGGATTTAAATGGATTTTAATGGGAATCGCTTCTTTTTGTGTCCTTCGGACAGCAGCCAAAGAAAACCTTCAGCCGAAATTAACCGCGCCTAAAAGCTCACAAATAACACGTTACTAGTCGGCGGGGAAAATCTCTGCGCATCCACAGGTCTGGAGGAATTTTGCAGGGTCCAGGAACGAGAAGTCCGTCCACTTTTAAATGTCTCCTTTTAATATGGGCCTGTGTTGGAACACCCCAGCATGAAAACCTAAATAAAATAATAAGAGCTTCTTTGCTTTTAAAGTGTGATGAGCTCGGTTCTGGGATCTTTGTGAGGTTAGATCCCGTGGATCGGGATAATGCACAGGGTATGGCACGTTGCACAGACATATCCCCCGCGCAGCCACAGTTTTCCGGACTTTCCCCCCTCCCTGCCATAGTTAAGGAACAGAACTGTTCTGCCAGACCTCCGATCCGCCACCAGATCCTTTAGCCAATCGGTCAGGCCGCTTTTTCGTTAAAGAACGTGTTTAAGGGTGGGGGGCAGTTTCATCCGAAACATCAGGTCGAAGCGTGAACGGCAGAGGACTAAAAACTTCCAGCAAGGAATGTGAAGGGGGGGGTGTGATTCCCACCAAGGCCGCTTTCCAAGGGCAAGACTCTGCACTGTTGGGGCTGGAATAGTAGCCGGGCGTTGAACTCCAAATCCAGTGCGCTTAACAGGCATGATTGGCATCCCGAAGAGCGAAAGAAATGGTCCTGACCTCGCTTTGGGAGGAATTAAAACAGAGGGGCTCTCTGTTTACAGGGGAGAATGTTTCAAAACTCGGATTATCGCTGGGAATATTGCACAGGAATGAATGGGGACGCCAGGGTTGCGCTCCGAAACGTGGGTTGAGACCGCTTACAGACCAGCGCTCCTATTCCAACCGGAGAGATTTCCTCTGTACTCAGTAAACAGAGCTGGTAGTACAAAATGCAATCCCATTTTTAAAGGTGTCCAAGCACTAACCCAATTCCGTGTAACATAATTGCGATGGGCCCCGGTATTTGGGGTTGAGGGGGAGGGGAATGTAAAAAACGCGATTTGCCTTTGAAGCAACAACAAGGTTTTATGAAAGAGTTAACCTTGTAATCTGGCAATTACACCGCTTGGAAAGTTCCTTCCGATTTGGAAGGAATAATTATCTCATTCTGCAGTTTGGGTAGCTTGGCTAACCAACAACGAAGAGTTCTGTGTAACACACTAGCCTAGGTTGGCTTGAATATCGATTGAATATTGCTATTTAACAGCAAAACTTGAGTCAACTCTTATACAGCTAATACAGTAATCCGCTCTACAAATCAGCCACTTGGGGGGAAGTGTTTTCCCCCCCCCCCCCCCCACGCTTTCCTCCATCTTCTTAATTCCTTCAATCCATCAGGTGGAAGTAAATCCACAGCGACTCAAGACTCAAGAGAAGGCCTTTGAAAAATGACTTAATCCTAATTAATGAATTTCGAATCAAATGGAGGAGGGTCAGGTCTGCCAGGGTTGGGTGACGCATAAATCTGGCAGCTGCTGGCCCTGTTGAGAGCCGGTGAAACACCTTGAAATTCTCACGCTTCAGCTGAGCTGGGTGGTGTTAGAGGGGCCGCTCCTGCCACCGCCGCGCTCCCACTCAAGTCGCTCAGGGGCGAAGCTCTTTGACCCTCGAAGTCCGGCTGGCGCTCTTGCTTATGCCTCAACCCTGATCCCCTCTGCTCGCGGCGTTGTCAGGGAGCTTCTGCTCAAGAGCCGCGATTTTTTTGACACTGGACACCCACTTTCTTCCATCGTATTCTATCGGACTGCTTTGGTTTTTCTCTCTTTCTTTTTTAACGGGAGAGGGAAGGGCTTACCACTGGGACTGGGGAGACTGGGGCCTTAATAATTCAGAGCCGCTCCTGTTCACCTTTTCGAGGAATTGAGTTCGCTGGATTTCCAAGCGACTTCTTTCCAATTCAGGCAGCAGGCCCACAGGCAAGCTCCGTCCAACCCCTTGGCCTGCGAAATAATCGCAGCTAGGACTGGGATCTGCGCAGGGACAGGATGGCCGGCTTAAGGCGAACCTTTATGTTCATTCGTTTTTACAGCTCAAGCAAATTGTTTAGACTTGAAACTGACACCTTGGTTAGTATATTCAGATCAGAATTCCAAGGAAACTTCCGCTGGCCAATAGTATATCGGTCCTGGCGGGTATGGTCCTTGTAGATCAGAAGACAGGGATTTCTGGGAATCTTAAAGCCCCAGAAGGATCGAGTTTTACTTGCAGCACTGTCTCGCTTTCGTTCCTGATCTCTGCCCCCCACCCCACCGCCAATCTTGCCATTTGCCTCCGAACGTCTTTGGGACGCATTGCCAGGCCTCGGAGCTCACTTCGGGCCCCTCCTCTCCCCCTCCGGCCTCTTTTCCCCTCAAACTTGCAGTCTTCCTCGCCTCGCCTCGCCTCGCCTCTCCTCTCCTCTCCTCTCCTCTCCTCTCCCCTCCCCTCTCCTCTCCTCTCCTC